GAAAAGTGCTGTATGTCTTTATCCAAAATCCTTGGGAGGGGAAGGATAAGAAAGTGTCTCATATTTTTTGTTTTTTTGAGATGGCATCTCACTATATAGTTGAAGCTGGTCTTGAACTCACTAGGTAGCCCAGGTTGGCCTAGAACTCACAGTGATCTTCTGCTTCGGCCTGCCAAATGCTGGATTACAGGCATGTACCACCATGCCCAGCTAGAAGGTGTCTCATATTGTTTTTGCCTTTTCTATTTTTCTTTTGTAAATACAAGACACTGAGTAAAGCACAAGTTTTTATTGGTAATATTTTATAAAAAATAAACTTCTAATGCCTAGTAGCTTACAACCTTATCTCTATAGACTGCTACAGAAATGAGTTAGGAGAGTTGGTGAAAGTGAATTGGCGTATACCATACAAAAACATTTCAGGATAAAATTTATAATACTATTTAAAAGAAACTTACTAGGTTCTGAAATGAAAACTGGAAATCTACCCTATAGATAATCCTGTCTAATTTTGGTCAATAGAATTAGTACAGATGTTCCCTCTTCAAAACTTTTACTCAAGATATAAACAAATAGTAAAACTAACTCACGCAATTAGAAGTTCTTCATATTCAAGTGCTGGCACATAGGAAAATGGTTAAAAGGCCCAAAATATAGATGCTAGCTTTGTTTCCAAATATGGTTCAATCTAAGAATAACATTTCAATAAAGAGTAGGATAAATTTGGGAAGATATTTTTCACTTAGTAGTTTAAAATGCTTGGCCAAATGTCAAAAAGGAATAGATGGAAATAAATAACAATTTTTTCTTTTCAAATAAAAAAATTCCAAAGACGTTATAGGTGTTTACTTATTCTTAATTTCCAGTTTCCCAGCCCCTAAAAGAGCAAGACTTGAACAATCAGGGTTCTGCACAACATTACAGACTCATTCTCATGAGGTAGGTCTGTCTCATTACTAGGTGGAAACTGGGCTCCGTGCAGTTAAGTAAACTTCTTGGAGTCACCCTGGAAATGAATAATGGCAAAACCAGTGCAAAAATCCAAGACTTTACACTGGTCTGTATGGATATGTTTAGTCCGAATCAATTTTTACTTATCAAGCTGCCATTAGGAAGTGGCACCAGGGTAAAGCCGATACAGTTATGTGGATAGACCTCTGGTCCTGAGAATGGAGTGAGGTGGGAGAAATAAACCAACACTATTTACAGCTTCATATTACAAACACTGGCAGCACTAACTTTAGGAAACACAAAGTTGGAATGTCTGGTATTTTTCTCAAGCTAGGTTGGGTATTTCTTGAGTCTGCACTAATCAGCTTCATCCAATGCAAGGGCTTGGTCCTTCTCATCTCCATCATCCTCAACCTATTTACAGAAGAAATGGCTTCTCATCCTTGGTCAGCACGGATCTCTGAGGGTTCTTGCTGTATTTCAGAAACTCAAAAGTAATGTTAGCTCACACTAGACTTTTAATGGACTTGAAATAACTCCAATACAAAAGAAAACAATTTAGGGTGAAGTTTATAGTAATAATAATAACGAACCGTGTACAAGAATGAAAACTGCAACTTCAGGAAATGTAATCTGAAACAGCTACAAAAGTATCAATGAAATTCTAAGATTATTTCATTTTTATTTCTTAAAAAAGACTTAAAATAATATAACCAATGTTTCAGTTTCATTTGTTATTTCACTAAGGAAAACTTATCTCTACTTCACAAATAAAGGGGGGTATTTATGATTATCACTTTCTACATTAGAAAACAGTTGTGCAGTATGTCAGGTTAATGTGAGATCTTTCTGATTACAAGTGTATCAACAAATATACTTACAAAATACCTGTTATAAATAGAGCTTGTGATATGAAAAATATACATGCATACCAGATTTTCCAAACTAGCCTGGTCCTTGGTTCTTTTCTCAGTTTTTTGGAAAAGACTATAACAACAGAGAAACAGTTTTCAAAAAATACCAGTTATCTACATATTTCCAGAGACAATGAAATGATACTGGTAGGTGTTGAAGGACAAAAGATTTTTGGTTTTACTGTTCTCTTTTCTGCTCTGAGGACATCTTCTCATAAAGAAAAAAATCTCATTTAGAAGTTTCATGAACCAAAAAGCATTCAGAAATAACACGAAGTTCAGTAATTTCAGTTTCGTAATTCTGTAAGATCAAGTTCAGAACAAATATTTGAGACATTAACCAAACCGTTTGTACTGGTACATTCAAGTGTGAAAAAAGCAAGCTACATGCAAGGTTTCATTAATACGTAAGTTAAAAAACAAAAAAACAAGAAAACAGGTTAGGCATCCAATGGTGTTCTGAAGAGAGTGCTCTTATTTACTTTAGGGAAGCCTTATAAATCAACATGCAAACAGAAGACACATACTTGTTACAATAGAATTTTAGCTCACAAGGCCATTGATTACAAACAATTGTTTTAAACACAAGTGCAAGAACAAACATCTGAAGTTATTAGGAAAATAAAGTATATCAACATAGATTTTAAGCTTACTAAATATTGCTTCTACTGGTAGCAATATAACTACTTAAGCCATGAGGAAGTAACACAGTATTTTAATTCAGAGAAAGGTGTGTTTATGTATAGATCTTGAATAAATCTGTATTCCAGGAATTTTAAAGATAGGTATAGTCTGAGAATTCAGCCCTGGCTGGAGGCCAAGGGGCACCAGCACCATTTTCCTTGAACTAGTTAAACATTCCACTTATGAAAAGATGGCATTTAACCTCTGCAGATCCCTTCTATACACCAAGGGGATAAAGTCACCCATCCCTGTATAGGGCAGAAATACTCATAAAAAGGCCACAGATGTCAAAAGCCCTTTTCCAGAAAAAGGCCTTTGTATGTACTGGTTTGTTATTCTAAGAAAAGGACTGATAATGGATTTATAGATTAAAACATTGTCATTTTAAGGCTTTTTGTAAGGTTAGCAAGTTGAATTTTTTTGTTAAAACTATGGAGCCCATGCCACACAATTGACTAGATGACTGAAGAAATATCCTGTCGTAAGTTTCTAGAGAGTATCCTGTTTGTATAAGACACTGGAGAAGAGGACATGGAAACAGTCAACAGTAAGAACATGCAGAATAGAAGAGTTAAAGCTTTTGGGAAGAGTATCAACCTGCTATGTGTTTAAATTTACTAGTCTAAATTTGTTACTCTTTAGTGCAGAAAAGCTGGCCTGGGCAATCCATTGCTCCTCTTTCTACCCCACAATACATAATCTACAAAAAGTAATACTTATTGACAGAATGATGGTCACAAGAGCTCCCCTAGGACAGTGAACGATCAAGATCAGAGGCATCATATAGGCAATTACACATGTGAAGCTAACAATAAAAGTTCAGTGGTTTAGTCTTGACATTTCAGATGAGCACCCTGCTTTCCGATCACAGAAACACCAACCACCAAACAGCCAATGCAAGGACCACGAAAAAAGACATCATGAAAGGAATACGAGGAGATGGAAAAGTACTAGAGTAGAGGTGGCACTTTTTGAGAGACTTGTGATCCTCAGGGATTGGAATGGAAACCTTGGGAAGAATGTCTTCATTTTCTTGCTGGGCCAAGGCTCTTTCAGTAGATCTCTCTTGCCTTTTAATTTTCTCTTCTTCCTGTACTAACAGAGCACGTTCCTGTGTCTGCTTTCACGGTAGAAGATCAAGAAAGACAGAGAAAGATGAACAAAATGACAGATGGAGAATGCTCAAAAATGAAACTTGGGGATGTGCAAAGGATTTAGAAAGACCTGGACACTCTACTGTAGATTCACTTTCTTTGGCAATTTATCCTAGCTTTCTATCTCTTATCTCTAGAATACAGTAGGGTGCTCAATAGTTAACTTTAAAAAATAAGTGCACATCAGAATGAATGAAAGTTCAACAGTTACTAGTCTTCCTTATGTATTCCTCTTTTTAGGGTATCCACAGTATTTTTTTTCACATTTGAATTTTGGGTCATTTTTCATTGTTGAGTACTGCCAATCACCAATGAATTGGGCTATGCCAATTATGAGGCATTTACCTGCCGTAAGAAAAGTTATTTTCATTATAAAGAGAATGGCAGAATATAAAAAGTAAAATCCTCATACTGGAATTCTCACACAGATTGAATCTGTAATAGTTTGGTATAATAATTAGCTTTTAAGGAATTAAAAATTTTAATCTTACATATTATAAGATTGCAAACAAACAAAAAAACCCACCCCAAACCAAAAGTATAAAATGTACCTCCAGGGTCTACTGTCCACAAAAGGAAATACTATAAACAAAGCAAACCACAAGATCTCAACATCTGTACATTCTTAGAACCATGATTAAAAATAATGACCATCATGGAGGTTTATACATTACATTAAGTAAATTTTTTTGGACAATTTTAAGGAAAGATTTTCCCCCAATTGTCCAACTGAGAATTTTCCTGTCTCTGCAATCTTTGCCCTCGGTTACACATCGTCAAGACAGATGTTGTCTATGACAAAAAAAACCTGGCTCTAAGCTCTCTCAGCTGAGCTAGCCTTCTCTGGTCTGTCTGGAAGCTCAACACTGGTTCTTTGCACACCCCTAAGTGATACGTATCAGGGAGAAAGTAGCTAGGGGACTGGTCAGCAAAAATAAAAAAGGAAAAGACAGGATGCAAATTTGTAATGATTTTTAAAAGAAAATAAAGTGGGAGAAGAAAGACAACATAAAAAGAATAGGGTATAATTAAATTCATTTTATCTCTGAATACACATTTACATCTTCATGCAGCTTTTCAACCAGCCATGCGCCGAAATAAGCAAATTGAAGGCTGCAAATGCTGCAGCAGTGAAAGTGTAATGTGTTAGGCCAAAAGGCTGTGGGCGTGAACTTACTAGTACAGCCAAAAAAAAAAGTTAATCAGCAGCTGTTGTTCAGTTCTGGGGATTCTCTGCTTAATGCCATGACAAGAGCAAATTCTGATTGAGAAGCACAAGTCATAACAGCAGCTTTACCTCTGGCCCACCAACCTTTCTTTCCGAGGGGAGGATAGAGGTTTTCTTCACCTGGTCATACACAAATTGTGCAAAATTCAGTTGCCTTGCAATGCAACAACAATGCTGTTAAAGGTGGAAGAGGTAGCCCCAGAGAACAGAAATATCATCCTAATTATTAAAGAAAAAATAAGATATGCCAGAAAGCAGGATTATCCCAACATAAAAGGTTGTCACAGCATAGTTCTTACTTATCTCATTATTCATTTAGAGGGGTAAATATACAGAAGCATAGAGCTAAAATTTTTTAAGTCCTCTCCATGGATCTTAGTTTATATAGCGTCATTTCTTTAAAGTCCATAAATGACACCATCATTCCCAAAACTAGCTGAGATGATTTCTGAAGGGTTTCTATTAAAAGACATATTTTCTGGAAATGGGGACTAATGAAAATTTACCCAAACTCATGCAAGACAAAACAAGCCTACTTTTTCAACGTAGTTGAGCATTAGTTATGTCTTGCAGTTAAAAAGCAAAACTAGAAAACTTGTAGTTATTGTTTGCAAATAGGATTATTAGATGAAGTGGCATGAAGTCGGTTTTCACTTGTAGAGTTTTAGAGTAAGGACATTAAAGATTATCTACTATATAAACTGAGGTGAGGGCTGGTGAGATGGCTCAGTGGTCTAAAGCACCTACTTAGAACAAGCTAAGCTAAGCAAAGCACAAGGACCGTGGTTCAATCCCCCAGCACCACATGCCAGCCAGCCCCGCCCCCTGGTGGGCTGAGCTGGCCACACACACACACACACACACACACACACAAAATAAATAAATAAACTGAGGTGAACATAATAAATGCTATGTTAGATTAGACAGACCCTCTCATTCAAACCAAGTCACAACTCATACTGGACTTTTATACTTTTTTTTTTGGGGGGGGGGTTGAACTCATGACCTTGTGTTTGCCAGGCAGGTGCATATGCCACTGAGCTATCTCCCCAGCCCTATGATTCTTATTACTAGAGAAATATCCAAATGAAATATCTAGCACTGAGAGTGGTGGCCTCAACTAGAAAGCAGAGTTACTGCCCCATTTCAGGATATGTGCTCTACATTTAGAACATAAAACTAATATCCATTTATATCAAGGAAAAGAGGACAATGAATGGGAACATCAGTGTCCACCATTTCTGTTCATTCTATTAAGCTGCCAATTATTCAGCTATTCTCCAACTTTATTTGTGAAAATATTTAAGCGTTGGAGAACTGTTAGACAATTTTAATCACATTTAAAAAAATAAAATAAAAGTCCTCTGTGGACCAATGTTTAGCCTCTTCTCCAGTTCTAGAAACTAAACAATAATTTGGATAGTTTACAAAGAACACCAAAAATTAAAACAACTACAAAGAAAAGGTCTTTTTTTTTTTTTCGGTAGATTGAACCTAGAGCCTTTGTACACCCGGTCCTTTTTTATTTTGAGATAGGGTCTTGCTACGTCACTAAGTTGCCCAGCAGGCATGGCTTGAATTTGCAAGTCCTCCTCCCTCAGCCTTGCAGAGCTAGGGTCACAAGCACATGCCACCACACCTGGCTCAGGCTGGTCTTGAACTTCTGGACACAGCGATCCTGTGCCTCAGCTGCCTGAACCTGCAACTATGGCACACAGCACTATGGCTTGCTAAACCCCAGGTGTTTAATGAGAACATTAATTTACCTTTCTTAACTAGAATTGCTATTATTTGGGGGCAGAAAGGGAAATAAGCATGTAATTTAAAAATCACGATGATTACATAGTCATCCCAATTCCATAAATATTTAATGTGCACTGATTAAAGATAAAAGATTGTTTGCTCAAGTAACTTTAAAGATACTGCCATTAAACAGGTTCATTTATTTATTTAGTCATAGGATTTCTAAAATAGATAATGACAATAATAGAGAAAAAATAGCCCCTAAAAGGTATCTCTGACTTCTTTTGATTGTTTTATAAAATAACATATTAGATTTTGTTGTTACTCATAAAGGTTAAATTATCAGTCAGTTTTCTAAAACTGAAATATGACCATTAATGTTGACGTTTTACATTCTCTGCCTTATGGGCTTACTTGGTACATTATATAACTGTATCATTCCAGACATTTCTAAGTTGTAGAAATGTTCAAATAAAGTTTTAAAAATGATAATCCCTTTCTAATTCTGACCTTACTAAATTTAGTCAACTTTCTGGTTCTGGAAAGCACATTCTGAATATAAACAAAATTTTACTGGCATGTGCTCAATTTATAAACACACACTAGCCAGAGTTATGCGCTTTAGAGACAGTTCTGAGTCTAAGCATCGACTAGTAACCCTCAACGGTTCCCACAACTGAACTGGGTTGCCACTTGATATAAAAAATAAATGTTTGATTATGAAAACCTTAAATTTCAATGAATTGGTGAGGTACCACACCTAATTTCAGCTTTAAACTTTTTCTCAGAAACAGAACACTACTACACAGGAACATTTATCCCATTCATTCTCAAAGCCAGCCATGTGCACAGAGTACTTACTCCTTCTCCTGTGGGGATCTGTCCATTGATGTTAAGAGCTCGAAAGGGGGAGTGAGTAGACAGGCGCTTATCCCATTCACTAGGCCGAGGTTCTGGCACAGACTCCATGAAGTTCTTTTTCAGCTCACTGATGCTAGCATGATGTTTTTTGATCTCTTCTTGACTTTTGTCTAAGTCCTACAGTTGAAGGACAAAAATGCAAGACAATAAATAATAGGGACAAAAAACACACCAAGGGCAACCCATCAGAGGTTGGGAACTGGTAGAAAACACACCACATCCAGGATAGATAAGACTAATCCATAAATTGCATTCAAATTGGAAAACTACAACATAGTATATTTGCTTTTTTTAAAAAAAATCAAGGTGCTTGCTTTAGAAGCAGTGAAGCATCATAACCCCATAGCTCTAGCTATGTAGCCCATAAAGAGCTCAATTTTATGACTCTTCTTCCCAATGTGATGCAAAACCAGATCTCCAGCTCCTCATCCCAAGCAGGTAATCCCACAATTTAATTAGCCCCAGCTTGATAATTACTAATTTAGGCTCAGCTCAAGCAGGATGGAGAAAGCAATGAAGAGATAAAACTATTAAATGAAGGACATGGTGAAAAGACTCAACTTCCACCACTGACCTTGGTGAGCTGCAACAATAAAACACATATCTACTAGGATTGTTTTTATTTCTGTAATTTTAATAATTTTTTTAAATAAGCAAGAATACTCCTTTTTTGATGTAAGAACATTTTGCTAAAATTCCTAATGCCTTCAGAATCTTACTATCTGAAAAACTCAGTAAGGGATATGTAATATAATTTCCCTCCCCGTCAACAGTATTTCCACAAACTAAAAGTCTTGCGTTTTCTAGCTGTTTCATCCCAAGTACAAATCAAAACAGGGACATTCTGGAGTAGAGAAAGTAGCTCTGTGGCAGATGCTTGTCTAGCTTCTGCGAGGCCCTAAGTTTAACCCCCAGCAGCAGCTGCACCAGAAAAGGGGAGGAGCATCTTCCAGTAATTTTCAAAGGACTTGGGAGTGACAAAAAGAGTTCATCAAATGGTGGGCAACCAGAGGAGGCAAACTCTGAAAGGGGATCTAGGGACAAATGATTAAAACCAAAGTGAACAAAGCATGGGCTAGAAATATTCAGATTTACATAAAAATACTATGTAACAGTTTTCAAAAAGGACATTTACTCAAAATACTGTAGTAAACAAGAAAAGATACAATGGTTTCTGTCCAACTGAACTTCCAAAAATCTTAAAACTTTAAACACAAGATCATAATATTTAGAGCCCATTGCTTGATGACTGTAAAAACTTGTTTTTAAGTATCAAGGAAGCTCTGTATCCAAGAAAAGCAAAATGACAAATATATCTCCCCATATGCTGTTAATTTGGGGATTATTCGCTCTTTAGTTATGTGGGAAACAGTTTCACTTTGGGGAAAAACAAAATTCATTTAAATCAAAATTTGAGGGCCGGCCAAATAGCTCAGTGGATTAAAGCACCAGTAAGCAGGGGCAGGGGCTGGGGGTTCGATCTCCAGGCCTGCTGTGCTGGCTCTGCCCCCAGGGTACGCTGAGACAGACTGGGTGTGGTGCCACGTGCCCATAATTCCAGGGCTTGGGAGGCTACAAAGAAGAGAATCACTACTAGTTTAATGTAGTAGTGAGATCCTAAACACCCTGTAGACCCTTCCCTAAAATACAGAAAAACAAAACAAAACAAACAAAAAAAAACCAAAATTTGCTTAAAAGTTTTTCTAAGAGCAACATAGGCTCCTATTAAACTTTCTCAGAAATAATATCAAAGGCAAACAGCATAGGAAAAAGAATAAGATGCATAACAATGATTTTCTTATGTATTCAATACAGGGTCTACAGAGTCTACTACACAGCTCAGACTGGTAATGATCCTTCCTGTTTTTCAGCCTCACAAGTGCTGGGATTACAGGTGTACACCACCATGCCCAGTCTCATTCGCCATCTCAGTGCGCCCCGGGGGCAGGGCCAGCATGGCATGCTGGGGATCAAACCCTGGTTCTTGTGTCTACCTAAGCAGGTGCTTTAATTTGCTGAGCTATCTGGCCAGCCCATAACAATGATATTGATTCTGGAGATATGTATTCAAAAACTTTACTTAATACTGTCATCTTTTTTTTTTTTTTTTTTTCCCTTTTCAAGACTGACTCATGCATACTTGGTTGGCATCAGTCAAAGAGAAAACCAAAAAGGGGCAACCATGTTGCTGCCCTGTGACAGTGATTTTTGTTTGCTGGGACAAAATCTGAGTCTATCTTATGAATAAAAAGCTTCATTAAGGAGAGTAATAGTTTATGCTTTTGATCTAGCTAAAAGCAAGAAAAACATGTTGATCAGCTAAATGTAAGCCTACAAGCCCACTCTAAGACAGTACTGGGCCAAGCAACTGAGACCCACCAGCCATGTGAGGCCCTGGGACTCAGCTCTGACTGGAAATCAACCTGTTTGGGACAATTTAACATATTTGGGAGGGTTAAAAGTGTGACTGGACCAAAACAAAAATTAGAAAGAGATGCTATGCAAAAGTCATAACTCTGAATTAACATCTTAATAAGATCAACAGGTGACTTGTTACTTCTGTTGCCTAGCTTTCAATTGGCTTAGAACCTGAGAAAATAAAATTTCCAATAAAATGAGTAGCTTCTGAGGGAGCTTTCTCCATTCTCCTTAGCTGGCTTTGATGGAAACCTGTGGGGGCACAAAGTAAAATTAAGATCTCAAAGGGACCTGTTCCAAATAGAACTTGTCATAGACATTTGTTACAGGTTCTCTCTGGAGATGGAGGAGGAGGTGGTAGATCTAAAAATGAATTCGACCTTATTTGTGCCAGAACAAAAGCATTAGTGGGGGTGGGGGAGGAGGAGCTGGGGAGCAGGAATGCTTTAAAAAAAATACCCTGCTAGGTGACAGATAACTTGAGAGAATTTCCTTACGGGGGAAAACACTTTTAAAATAACTAAAGAATGATGGTCAGTCAAATTATTTTGGCTGTGTCAAGGTTAAGCAATTTTTAATGCCTATCATCTTACAATTTTAGAAATAATCAAACCAAACACTTCATTAAATTTAAAATGTTCTCAAAAGGTAGTTAGTAGTTTTAATTTTTCAAACACACAGTTATTTAGAAATCTCCTCTGATGGCTGTCAGTGAAATGCTGGGAAAAAAAACACACCACACGCAAGGATTTTGTGAGTCTCAGAAGCCATGACACACCTCAGAAGGGAGGACAAATATATGATTGGTACTGCAGGTTCCACTTAAGAAGAAGCACTGAAGAAAGGGGACTACTGAGGAAGTGTTCAGGTTTGGGAGAGGCCATATTGCTGATATAAGAGGTAAATCACCATCTGTTGTCCTGCCTCATGTCTGAGGATGGAATGATTCAGGTTGAGTCTCAGATCTAGGCTGAGACAAAGATTTCGTATGTAAGATTGATGTATCTGAAGGTTCATAAAAAATCATGTTACATGAAATGTATGTAAAGTACTTGGCATTGTACCGTCTTAGGTATGTTTAATGAAAACTGGCTGTAATTTTTACTACTTTTATCAAAGTAGTATACTTTCAATACAACTAGCAGGTTTTCAAAATATAGGAATTTGGCAAAAATAAGATGAAGTTAAATAATTACTAGAGGCCATATATTAAAAGTCTTTTCAAAAGTTTCTTCAAAGCTCCAGTTTAATATATTTTTTTCTTTTTCTTTTTTTAAATTTTTTGGTGGAACTGGGGATTGAACTCAGGCCCTTGTGCTTGCCAGGGAAGCGCTTATTCCACTGAGCCATCTCCCCAGCCCCTCCAGTTTAATATTACCGGATTCTTTTTTTTTTTTTTTTCTTTTTGTATTATGGACAGGATATACAGGTTGTACGGGGTCTCACTGCACAGATTAGACTCGTAGTGATCCTCCTGTTTACAGCCTCCCAACTGCTGGGAGTACAGGCACGCATCACCACACCGTCTCAACTGCAGTCTCAATGCACCCCGGGGGCTGGGCCGGCACAGCACAGCACACTGGGGATCGAACCCTGGCCACTGTGCTCTGCCTAAGCAGGCACTTTAATCTGCTGAGCTATTTGGTTGGCCCTTATTACTGCACTTAATATATGTTCACCCTATAGATATCAGTTAAAATGTGACCTCTTCACTGTTCAACTCAGAGTAGATCCTTTTTGTTAGTATAGCACACTACTTATTTTCTACAGTTTTTATAATAGGTATTATTCTTTTATTGATATTTGTTTACATATTCATGGTTTCTCTTCCCAATTCTCCATACTGTAAACTTCCTGAATGCAGGAACCACGTTTATCATCTTCCTATAATCTACATTTCCTTTAAAGTAAAGTTAAACCCATAATGTAAGATTTTTTTTTTCATAATGTAAGAATTTATATTCACTTCTTATGGTTCTGTCTTGAATGGAGTTGTTATTTTATTTTGTTTTGCTGTTTTTCTGAGACAGGATTCACTATGCAGGCAGTTCAGGCTGGCCTTGAACTCACTTTATAGCCCAGGCTGCCCTTAAGTTCTTGGCAATTGTCCTGCCTCAGCCTCCCACGTGCTGGGTTTACAGGCATGTTGCAACCATACCTGGCCTGTATGAGCTTCTTTCCGATGTGTACATTAACTTGATCTCAATTTTTTTACATGGAATAATTCCACTTTCTTTAATTTTTCTTCATATACCTCCCTAATCTTCTAAGTAGTTTTATATTTTCCTATCCAAAGTGAATCCCCAAATTAGATAAAGTAGATTTTATCTCTAGATTAATATAAGTTGGATAAAAAAATCTCAGCAATATATGAATCTAATATAAATTTTATGGAAAATGACCTTAAAACTCTTATGGCAGAAAGTATGGTATTATTGCTGAATGGACAATAGTGTAGTTTAGTAGAGTTATATAAGTCCTAACTTAAATCCAATTTACGAGTTCTGTGACCATAAAGTATTTCTCTAGGCTTAAATTTTTTCGTCTTTAAAATAAAAAACCCATTATCACGAACTTATTTTCATAATTAAACCTCTTACAGTAACTATTCATTAAATACTAGGCTCTCTTCTTTCTTATCTTACCCTCCAACCTTTCTTCAGTAATTTCCTACTATCTCCACTGTTTTAAGTCCACTCAAAATTGTAACTGTACTTTTATACTCTTTCAGGAAAAAAAAAAAGTGACAATTTGTTCCAGGGACATATAAAAGCTTAAATATTCTTGGCGAATGCAGGAACTTCTAGCAATGATGGAAAACTTTCCGCATGTAGGTAAAACAATAGAGTGATGAAAGGAAGAGGTAGTCCCAATCATATATTTTTTTAAAGATAGTATGAAAGATGAAAACTAAAAAAAATCAGAAGGACAGATGGTTGCATATCTTCATGTTTACCAACATGCAAAAGCATTTTAAACCTAAAAATCTTTCATGCAATGGCATGCAAAACCAAATGCAGCATAGAATGAAGAGAAGGGAATCAGTGAAGAATGCAGAAGATCCAGGCAACCAACTGAAATAAGCTTCAAGTTCATACAAACCTCCAACATTAAATTGCTATGTCTGATATAAATGTTTTCACCATCTAGTCTCTCTCTCTTTTTCTGTGAAAATGAAAGGGGGAAAAACAGAAAAGCATAAAAAATTAAAATGTTGTTCTTGCGGGAAAAACTGCAAATTGGCAAACAAAAAAATACTTGAAATTAAATGTCCGCAGCACAGCATATGCCAACATGGGATGGCCACAGAACCACAAGGACGCAAAGAACTTGATTACCACTAGAAAATGAATGACCCTGTTTGTGAATGATGAAAGACTGTGATGATGTTATTTAAATAGACAGTGCTTGTAGCTTCATTGACTTCTTATATAATGTTTTATGTTTATTTTTAGAATTGAACTGTTGGAATGTTACCCTAAAATAATGACTTTAAAAAGCTCTTAGCCGGGTGTGGTGGCCCATGCCTGTAATCCCAGAACTCTGGGGACTAAGGCAGGAGAATTGTTGCGAGTTCAAGATCAGCCTGGACTACAAAGTGAGCTCAAGGCCAACCTGAACTGCAGAGTGAGACCCTGTCTAAAAAAAAAAAAAAAGCTTTGAAATCTCACATACCAAGGAGTAAAGAAATGCTTTAAAATCATTATTCAGCTTTTTAGAGGTATTTCATATTTATTAATACTCCAGTATGTCAATCTCTAATACTTTTAAGAAAAAAAGATCAAATGGCACTTTATAGCTGGCAAGCTAAGAATATATCCACTAAGACCAGATGCATCCCACTCTAGCTGGGAAGAACGAGGCACACAGCAAACTCATTAATGAAACTGGAAGGGGGCCAGGGATATAGCTCAGCGGCACAGTGCCTGCCTGGCAAGCATGAGGTTGTGAGTTCAGTTCCCAGTATCAAAAACAAAAACAAAAGAACACTGGGAGCTGCTGCTGTGACAATTTTTATGATAAATGTGGATAAAATATTGTCAATGATTTCACAAACATGTCATTGTGTAATAGTTCTTATAAATTTGAATATGAAGAATAAGTTTGATCCTCAATTCATTTTGTTAAAAGATTTTTTCCTACTGACAAGTTTAATAAAATCTTTCAAAAATAGTACTGTACAGTATAAGATTATAATTTTGCATTATCTATATATGCACATATATATGTATTTGCTCTTTTAAAGTAACTTCTGATTAAGAGAAATCAATGAAAAATATGGATCACTGTCTTTTTAATGCACTGTAAGTCAGCACTGATGAAAAGGCAGTTTTGTGAAAGTGAAAAATGGCTAACCTTCCTCATTCTTATCAGATCTTCAGTTTTTTCTGCAAGCTTCTGTTTTGCCATAATTTAAAAGGAAAAAAAAAATGACAAAATATGGGTTCAGTGAAGTCTGTTTGAACCTTCATTTTATTTTATTTTTAAGGAGAGGGGACAAAGGGGGAAGAAAAAATCTGAGGGGTAGAGGGAAAAAGGAACACATGGCCTGTTGGCACAAACCTGTGTTTGGTCACCATTAGAGGTGGGAACTGTGACCTCGATGTGGGTTTTTTCCACCTACATTTAAGAAATAAAGCAGTAAAAACGATTTAGGTTAGTAGATCTCTATGCACAGCATTGTTTCCAAATAAGCTGCATCATTAAGCTGCTTGGAAACGCCAGCAGGTAACCATGATGCAGCCTTACAGGTATAACAGCCAAGGACACGATCTCAGGGGCAACATGTTCACTTACTATCACATTTTCAAGGATAAAGGCACAGTATGACAAACGAATTATCAAAAGTAAAATTAAAGTAAGGTAATCATTCTATGGATTAAGAAAACATTTTAATATTTATTCGTAAAAAGTACTCACTAAAAATAAAAACAGGCTTACTTGATACTATGGGTATAAATTTTGCTTTGCCTTTTTTGGTAAGATCTGGAAGTATTTTAAATAAAATTTAAAAACAAATTTATAAATGAGATAAATATACGTGACAGAAATAAATATAATTTTTATAGTTAAAACACATATGAAGTACATCACATATGATAGACAAAAACATTCGACTTTATTAGTTGATCAGTATATTTAAGGAGGCTTACCACACAATAAAACATCAAAATAAGCTTCACCCAAATTGTAACTGACACATGCAATTACTTCCATAACCTATTTATACATAACACACACAAGTCTTAGCTACAAAATTCAACACACTGCAATCTCCTCTTTGAACAGTTGGAACCTATGTTTGGTGATAGGGAAAAACAACAGTAAGAAATGAAAAGATTAAAGTACCCTCGAAATACCTTTCTTTAGCAATAGTCACTTTATGTAATACAGAATATGGAGCAAATATTAAAAAGCTAGTCAGGGTAATAAGAGGAATCATTAATTATTATAAAATTAGAAAAATTGTTGTTATTAAGGGTTAAGTCAATCACTTTCTATCATAAAATTCCTCATAGAACTTCATCAGTCTGTGGTTTTGCCATTTTCCATTTAATCACACTAAGCAGCATTACTTTGGAGTACAATGCTGTGCTATTTTCTCTAAAACTGAATATAGAAAATAAGACAACATCAAACTTGGTAACACTGTCAAATCCTAAGCACATGCGGCTACAACACTTTTTACTACCAAGGGTTGCTAACAATTGAACTGTTTCTATTCTGAATTCCAGCACACTTGTTGTGTGGTTACTAACAAGGCATTTCATTTGTCTGAATTCAAATGTTCATATTTTTTACAAAACAAACAAACAAACCCCAAAGAGATCATGTCTACCTTAATTATGTACACTTAGCAAACAGTAGTTTTAAATTATTTTATAAAGTTTAAATTCTTTGTTTAAACGAATAATGAATCTTTGTAGGTCTCTATCAAACCAACAGCAGGAAATCTAGAATCACTATTTCTTGGTTTTTTTGGTTTGTTTTTGTTTTTTCAGAACTGAGGATTGAACTCGGGACCCTGCGCTTGCCAGGCAAGCACTTATTCTACTGAGCTATCTCCCCGGCCTGTTATTTCTCAATTGAGCACAAAAAAAAAATCCCAACAAAACAAAAACTGGGCACAGTGGCTCATAGTTCCCACTACCTGAGGGACGGCTTGAGCCCAGGAGTTTGACGCCAGTCTGGGCCACATAACAAGGCTATTATCTCCAAAAAAAAAAAAAAAAGAAAAAAGAAAAAAAGAAGGAGAGAAACAAAAGTTAAGTAGCAACAGTAGTAGCTCTGTGTATGCTCCTACACAGATTAACTAGTACTGCTTCCACATCTCTAGAACAGACATTGTTAACAATGACCAAAAGCTATCCTTATCTTGTACCAAACTAGTGCAAACTAATGTAATTCACAGTAACAAGGCTATTTTATTATTATTGTTGCTTTATACAACACACATGGTTTCAATTAAATGCCATGACTATTTCCTAACTGCTACCAATAAAATCAACTCAAAATTCGCCCTTAATTCTGGCTCTACTAGTATAGTGGTAGGTTGTCAGAAGTGGCTTTAGTTGTATTCCAACATAAGTATCTCAAAACAAGTACTTACACAGAATTAACTGCCAAAAAGAACACTCCCCAAATTAAAAAAAAAAAAAAGACAACAACAAACAAAAACACAAAGATTCCCTCCTATACCCACATTTAAATGAAGAGAATAGATAAGAGTTATTCTCTTTATTCTGGAGAGGTCCCAAGAACAAAGGGAATATATTTTTGAAAATACTTGTGTTTGTCTTATAAGCAAAAGCAGAACAAGTAAGCACAAAGCCTAAGGAATCTAAATCCTTCAGGAAGATTACCTTGACAACTCCAATAATCTAACACTTTCCTGTTAATAAAAAAACAGAGGGACAGTCAAACATGCCAGGTGATACTGTAACATCAAAAATGGAGTAGGTAGTAACATTATAAAGCTATTATTTACATAGGCATGATAGCACATGACTATAATCCCAGTTTCTTGGCAGGCTGGGGTGAGAGCATCACAAATTTCAGGCCAGTCTGGACCACTCTCAAAATGAAACAGCAAAAGGGCTGGAATATGGTAACTTAGTGGTACAGCATATGCCTAGCATGTAAGAGCACCTGGGTTTAAAAAAATAAGAGGATTGTTTGTACAATGTTATGAACATTTGGCTAAGTACCAAAATACAAGCCTCCATTATCCATTCAAGCTTTCCCTTTTTCTTCTCTAGATTCAAGATAAATCTCAAAAGGACACCAAAACTGTATTTCATATTTGACAGATTTTAAAAAAGAATATAGTCAGATGACTGTCCACAGTTTTATAGAGAAACTGTTGACCTGACTCTAAAAGAACAGGGTTAATTTTATGCTAAGGTGAGAACAGTAAGAATGAATATATATATA